GGCACATAACAACACTGTTATTTAGTTGCTCTGGTCAGTTAGAGAACAGCCGCGGGGGCCGGAGCCAGTCAGAAAAACCGGCTCCTTCCATCAGTTCTGAGTTTTAACTTTGGTAAAGACATGCTTAGAAGAACAGCAAGGGGGAGCTGTTTTCAGGCTATTTCAGGGGGAAAAAAACCAAAAAAAACCACATCTAAGGTTATGTCTTTTGGATACACAAACATGTGTTTATTGTTCCAAATGTGTGTATACTGTGACTGTAGTATACCTGTGTCTCAGAAAAACACCACACTTTGTAAAATGTAGGCAAAGAAGTGAAACAATTTTCTGAGGTGCGGTTCTCTGATAGTTACACTTTGCTTCCCGGTTCATGCATACAGAGTCCCCAAAGTTGCAAAGTTGTCACATAAGACTGAAAGTCTTGAAATTTGGAGTGCTAGTACTGCTTCATAGCAGCTATGTAAGTCTCAATTTATACATCTTAAAACTGGGAATAAAAGTACCTGTCTTGCCTACTAGCCAGGTAGGCAAGTAGTCTCAAGTAGTACTGGTGGGAAATGTTCCCAGAACTGAAAGCTCTATCTTGTCTCATGTTCTTCAAGAATCTAGGAGGTGAAAAATTAAAATGGTTAAGAAATGAAAATAAACAAGAGGTTACTAACCACTGTTACAGATTGAATTGTGTCTTCCAAAAACACATGCTGGAGTCCTAACCCCTGTACCTGTAAATATGATCTTGTTTGGGAATAGTGGTTTTCTTTTGTTATGTTAATTAGGCAAAGCCAGAATATGGTGTGCCCTAAACATGACCACGTCTAAATGCTGTCTTATAGAATGAGCTTTGGTGGTGTAGTGGATAAGGCATTTGGCTGCTAACCTGAAGGTCAGCAATTCAAACCTACCAACCACTCTTGCAGAAAGAAGATGGGACAACGGGCAATCTGCTTCCATAAAGATTTACAGCCTCAGAAACCCAATGGGGCCTACTGTGAGTAGGAATTGACTGGATGGCAGTGAGTTGGTTTTTATAGAGTGTAGTAAAACCCATGAAAATTGGAGCCCATGTGAGCTGGAAACATGTCAGAGAAAGAAAACTCAAATATTTTCCACAAAAGGAACAATAGAAAAGTAAGATTGCACCCTGTTAAAGGCAGAAATCTTGTGAGATCAGGAAGAGCAAGGTGGTCCAGGCAAGTTCCAGCTCTCACAGGTTTCCCTGTAACAGACACAGAGACAATTACCCAGGGGGCAACACCACATGAAGACTACAGCAAAAACACCAAACTCACTGCCATTGAGTCAGATCTGACTCATAGTGACCCCTCCTTGGGTTTCTGAGGTGGTATCACTATGGAAGTAGATTGTCCAATCTTCCTTCCGAGGAGTGGCTGGTGGGTTTGAACCGCCAGCCTTCTGGTTAGCAGTCAACTGCCTTAGGCACTATGCTACCAGAGCTCCTTTCTGAGAACTAGGCAGATAAATTTACAATTTCGGGAATACCAAGAATTGCCAGCAGTTACTAGGGGCTGGAATAGACAAAGAAGGACCTCCTAGAGCAGGAGCAGATAATCAATAAGCAAGGTAAGCATGGAGTTACTTGTGCTTACTTATTACTCTGGAGTGAATAATTTCACCATAACACCGATGTAGTGAAACACATATGAAACTACCTGGCTTACTGAGTAATCTGCTTCTAGAATCTAGAGCCCTGCCTTGAATTCTAACTTCTAGTCTTGTGTACTGTGAGAAAATAGCTTTCTGTTCTTTAAAGCTACCTACTGTTGGTAGGTTTTGTTATGGTAGCACTAGGCAACTAAGACACATGCCTATTCACCTTTTGCACTTTCAATATGTTTTAGAGGAGGCAGTGTGTTGTAGTGCAAAGATCACAGATTCTGTATTCAAGCCAATGCAGATTCAAACCCTCAGTGCAACATCTACCAGAAGGAATCAACATCTTTGGCTGTTAATCTGGAGAGATGGTGCAGAGATGCACTTCATCTGTTTCAGGTCCTCTGACCCAATAATCACACTCTATCTAATTTATAAAAACTAACCTGTTAAGTTCCATCAGTGAATACAGTTGGAAGATGTATTTTATTCAGTAACAACAGTACCAATTACTTATCTGTATCAAGTACTATATATGCCATTGTGCTGGATGCCAAGGGGCTTACACAGCAGATTCTAGAACCCATTCACACGTAGTTTTTAAAATGTGTCTGTCTTAATCTTACCAGTTCCATATTCAAAGGAAATTCAAACTATCAAACCATTTGCCATTGAGCAATTCTGACTTACGGTAACACTGTGTGTGTATATGCAGAGCAGAATTGCTCCACAGGGTTTTCAAGGTCATGATCTTTTGGAAGCAGATCGTCAGACTGGTCTTCCAAGGCACCACTGGATGGGTGAGTTTGAACTACCAAACTTTTGGTTAGTAGACAATGCACTTAACTCGTGGTACCACCAAAGGACTGTATCAAACAAAATCAGGATTATTGAAATATAGACTCATTATTTATGTACCTCACTGAGCCTGGTATGAAAGTTACTGAGTGGAGGGTAAAGGAACTGTGGTCCTGAAACGTGAGAAGAATACTGTCAGCATTTTCTGTGGCATGTTGTATTTTTCCTTCGAACAATTTGCATTTGCTCTGTACTTTTTGTATTGTTAAAATTTACCTTTCCCTCCCCCTTAGTCTCAATGGTTAACATTTAGTTGACA